GACTACCATGTCACTTCCAGATATACTCTGAGACTACCATGTCACTTCCAGATATACTCTGAGACTACCATGTCACTTCCAGATATACTCTGAGACTACCATGTCACTTCCAGATATACTCGGAGACAAATATTTCATTTCCAGACATACTCTGATACTACCAAACAACTTCCAGATATACTCTGAGACTACCAAACAACTTCTAGATTAAAATCTGAGAAACAAGAAACAAGTGTTCACAATACACAGCAATAAGTCTAATGAACCAAATAAATGCCTGCAAAGATCACACACCAGTGAACATCAAGTATAAAGAGCAAGGAAATTAACGAACCATTCAACTTAAGAAGCAAGATAAGAAAATAATAGCTCTCTGATTACACCACGGTCTATCGTCTAATGAACTATATTTCACAGTGGTATATTTACACTGCAGCAAATAATGACTCAGGAAATGTGGCTTAGGGGTTTTGAACAATATCATAATTTTGGTATACCAGGATTTAAAGACAGTTGCAAGCGATTTGGAATCTGACTCTTTTGGACTGATCTTGGAAAAAAGTATGAGTGTCACGCTGTTTAGAAGTACTGGTAACCTTCTTCTTCTTCTTACATTCCATCCCTTATGGCATTGGTAGTCATGTCTATCCACAAACTTCTGTCTCATGTACAGTCAGTCAGTTCTGACACAGAGGATCTTCCATGTCATGATGTCAAACTTTGCATTATCTTCTTTCTTGGTCTCCATCTGGCTCTTTTCACCTCCAACTTTCCCACCATCACGATGTACTCCAGTTTTCTCCTTCTCACAACATGACCAATGAATGTAGAGTGTCTCCTCACAATAAATAAAGCCACACAATAAATTCTGGGGTTCATTCGCTACTCCTGATGAGGACATGAAACTTATTTTTCAATATCTATGTATGCCTCGATGCCAAACAGTCAAGCATCTTTTCTCTTAGCCTCCCTTTACCTCTCTTCCCTACAAACGGTCCAAATGACTGACACCAATTTTTCTCTTTTCACCACATGACCTAAGAATGTAGACTGACTTCTTCTGATAGGGGCTATCAGCTCTCTTTGTTGCCCATGCTGGTTCCAGGGTACCATTTACGGGGGAAAAGAACAGACTCACTGCCCCCTTTAAAGCAGGTCATAAGAGGCATTTATTTATGGATTTATCCTTTGAAGTCTGAGTGCATCTGCCTGAGAGGCAAAAAGCCAGCAGGCTGCACACAAATAAGCCAAATCTGTAAATCTGACGCTCAAGCAAAGCCCAACTGCTGGAACAAGACTCAAGTCCAGAAGTGGACAAACAACCAGACATTTCTGCCAAAGTTTACAGCCAGTGAATGTGAAGAAGAAAAAGCTTTCTCTGCGAGTTATTTTTTTTTTTCCAGGATATTTCATGCTTATGCTTATCTGTCAACAGTGCCATCATTCACCTATAAAACCACATCTCTTTTATCTATTTAAACAGGCATGATTGGCAGTCTTAGTTTGTGGAGCAACTATGGATCAGTGCTGTCACGATAGTCCTCACTAACCGCAAGTAGAAAGTATAAATGATTGTACCTACACTATCTCACACATCAGTGTGCTAGCAAGGAGTATGTAAGTAAAATACATGTCTTTGGCAAATCAAGCATACAGTGCTAGACTTATAGTTTTACAGACCAATCAGCACTCGACTGTTGATGCGGTCAACATCACACGGACTGCCTCAACTTCTCGGGACATTACCTGGTACTCAGTTTAGGCAGGGCAAACCTGGCAGCCAAGGTCAATTTTAAGAAAAGAAATCTGCTATGAAAGGAGTACACACTAACCTGAATTTCAACTGTCGTATTTGCAGTATTTAAACATTAAAAGTCTATGGTTAAGCACCAGCAGGGAGATCAAAATTAGAATTCTGAGAGCGTGCATCTTCCCTGTATAAACAAACGGATGTGAGTCGTGGCTTATCTTCCAGTCCTTAAGAAAGAGAATAGGGGCTTTTTGAGCTGAAATGCTATAGAAAAATTCTCAGAATATCTTGGACAAAGAAGAGGAGAAATACTGACATATTGAAAGATCTGAACATCAAGGAAGATTAGCTAATAAACAGCATCCTGTCTCGGAAGCTGAAATATTTTGGTCATACCAAGCGCCATGTCGGATTGGAAAAAATAATAGCAGAAGGCAGGAGAGCTAGCAAGAGACAGAGTTTCTTCCAGGCAGACTGTGATGAGAGTGACATTCTGCAAAGGACCTGCTACACGACGATGATGATGTTTTTGTGAACCATGTATACAACACAGACATATGTGTATAACAAAAAGAAACTTAACTAAATCCATTAATAAAAATAAAAGCTAGTCTCACAAAAAATTATAATTACAAAAGAAATCAATTGTTCAACAACCATGCATGCAGACAATTGTTTCTATCCAAATCAATGAATGTTGTTGTGTCGACCCATTATGAAAGCCCATGGGATCCACAAACTAGCAGCCGGAATACAATGATTGTTGTGATGTTTTAAAACAAGCGCTGATTCAATTGTTGATGGCAAGTCTGCATTCTTATGCTTAAAACACTACCAGTCTTATCCAGTAAACACTGACAGTCTTTTACAGCAGACAGATCCAGGAGATAGACAGACAGGCAAACGGTAGATATAACAATTGTCTATCAAATCTGTGTTCTAAGATTTTTGTTTTCTTTTTTACAATAGTAAAACTTGATCAACTTATTTTACTGAGAGAAATAGCTAAATAGTATGCAGATGTTGTGTCTATAAAGAATACCTGGCATTTAGTGGCAAGACAGGATCACAAACACTGAGGTATTTAAAAGAGCAGGTATCACACAAGCTTACTAAATGCTCAGTCTTTAAAAGGTCTGATGCCTAAGATGCAATTGGAGGATGGAGAATGGTTAAGTCTCTAAGGACAACCTGTAGAGTGAATTACGGATGGGCAGAAAATGTTGAGACTGATTACTACTATGATATAAGGATGTGTGCAAGCAGGATATGAATGATACAGATTTTGAGGTGCATTCAATGGAACAGGATGTCATAGACCATGCTGTATGGACAAGGAAAATGGAGAAAATGATTGCAGACATGTCTGATAAGAGTATGTATACATGCTATGGCCACACGGTCCTGAAACCCCACACTTTAAATAAGCAAGACTTTTCTTAATACAAGCAGACCTTGCTAGTCACACTTTCCCTCACCAGAGTCTGTGATAGCCATATATCCCTGTATCACAATATAACACTATCGTCTGGAAAGAGGTAAAGATACTAACCAAACATATTGTCAGACTGAAAGAAAGATAGTCAAACAGATAGACAGACTCATGAGCTGGTGGGTAGAGGAAGTGAAGGATAAATAGGCAGGTAGAAGACAGACAAACATACAGACAGGAAATATGAGTACTAAGACAGCAGATGTTAAAGAGCAGAAACACTGGTTGCTTCCACAGTTTAAGTTAGTTGTGTATCCTTTACAGGACATTGCACAGCCAACACCAGTATTTTTGGCTTTTGTTGTTTTTCTAGGGCAATTTCACATTCAGTAATTTGCCACTGCTTTCTAAACAATCAGCTCTCAGCACCACCGTTGAAATGAACGCAGCTGGGATCAAACCCAGCCCCCAGCATTAAGAAGCAGGTTTAAAACGCCAAAGCCACAGATCGCCGACGCTTCCACGGTATACTGAATATAACCATGTGTTTCTTACAGATAACACATACTATGAGGTATGTATATACTGCTATTAGTGCTGCTGCTGTTGCAAATACTATTACCAATACAGGTTAACATTAAAAAATCTGGCAACCTATGAACCTGAGGAGTGCCAGATTTGTGAAAATGCTGGACTGTAATGTTTATATATACTGTATATAATTAACAGAAAATGATTAGCTGTACAGTCCTTTAAAACAAAACAAAAAAAGGAAATTACAAACTAAATGAAGAGCTTCTTCCTTTAATAAATCACCATCAATTGCCCCACCTTCACTCTTAGGAAGATTAATCAGGTTACAATCCATCGGAGACCAAGGAGAATTACCAGAAGTTCACATGAAAAAATCCCAGCCTTCATCGGAACATGAACCCAAGACCTCCAGCACTTGTGGTGGAGGGCATGCCTCGAGACCATGCAGCTCCCTATTTAGGGTGCTATGCAGAATGCCATGATGTTGCAGGAAAGCAATGCTGCTTTCCTTATCAGACATATTCGGCACAATGTACGAAAACAAGCCAAAGCACAGGCGCTTTTGAGTGGTAGCACATGCTTACACGTGCCAGGTGTTTACTTTCCAAGGCGGCATTCAAGTTCCGATAAATAATTTACTTGACAAATTTAGTTTGCATTTTAAGTTGTTAGATTTTGTGTGTTCTAATTCCAAGCTACCACTACAATATATATATATATATATATATATATATATATATATATATATATATATATATATATATATATATATATATATATATATATATATATATGCATTCGCACGCACATACATACCCAGGCATCCCCTCCCCCACACAGAGAGAGGGAGAGCAGTATTTACATAAATTTTATGGCTTAAGAATTCTACAAAGATTTAGTAATTTTTACGCCATAAAAATTTTTTTTTATATAAGTTTTGTGTATCCTTTTCAGGACTTAGCAAAACCAACCCCAACATTTTTTGTTGGCTGTTGTGGTTTTTCTAAGCAAATTGATATTTAGTAGTTTGCCACTGCTTTCTGGATGGCCGGCTTCTCGATACCACTTTCAAAACCATCGCAAGGATGCAGCTGGGATTGAACACAGCACCCCAGCATTACGAAGCGTGCATGCAACGCCTAAGCCACATACTGTGACTTATTTAATATAACAATAGGAAAGAAAAAAAATGAGATATTTAGAAAAATGAAAGAAAGCAAGAAATTAACAAAATGCAGACAGGAAGGACAGACAAATCTAATGAACAAAACAGTGAAAACCTACTTTCTGGCTTCCCAACCCTGGCTGTCGTCCCCTGTGGACGCTTTTTCTGCAGGTACTGTTGATTGTAGGAACCTACATGACAAACAGAAACCCACAAAGGTAGATTGTGAATTCTAAAGACAAATCATCTGAAAAACAAGATATAAATAGCTAAAATGACTCCTTTCTGATAGGTCCTTCTCAGATTATTCCCATAAAATTTCAAAACCATCTGGTACTCTATTTTAATATGGTTAGGCGGACCCCATAGACCAGAGGTTCTCAACCTATGGGTTGCAACCCTTTTGTGGGTCAAACAACCATTTCACAGAGGTCGCCTAAGACCATCGAAAAACACATATTCACTGAAGTTATGAAGTAGCAATGAAAATAATGTTATGGTTGGGGGGTCGCCACAACATGGGGAACTGTATTAAAGGGTCGCAACAACATGAGGAACTGTATTAAAGGGTCGCAACAACATGAGGAACTGTATTAAAGGGTCGCAACAACATGGGGAACTGTATTGAAGGGTCGCAACAACATGGGGAACTGTATTAAAGGGTTGCCACAACATGGGGAATTGTATTAAAGGGTCGCCACAACATGGGGAACTGTATTGAAGGGTCGCCACAACATGAAGAACTGTATTAAAGGGTCGCCACAACATGGGAAACTGTATTAAAGGGTCGCCACAACATGCGGAACTGTATTAAAGGGTCGCCACAACATGGGGAACTGTATTGAAGGGTCGCCACAACATGGAGAACTGTATTAAAGGGTCGCCACAACATGGGGAACTGTATTAAAGGGTCACCACAACATGGGAACTGTATTAAAGGGTCACCACAACATGGGGAACTGTATTAAAGGGTCGCCACAACATGGGGAACTGTATTGAAGGGTCGCCACAACATGGGGAACTGAATTAAAGGGTCACCACAACATGGGGAACTGTATTAAAGGGTCTCCACAACACAAGGAACTGTATTAAAGGGTCGCGGCATTAGGAAGGTTGAGAACCGCTGCCACAGACGCACTGGTCTAGACAAAAAATCTTTCCGGGGATTGAACCTGGACCACTATCATGATAGGCAAGCACACTAAGCGCTAGAAAAGCAAATTGATGTCGCTTAATGATTGGATTAGAGGTACAATCAGCCTGTTACAGGTGCCATCAGAACTGGCACTGGGCTTGCTGATGAAGGTGGGGACAGATCGTGTTTGTGAATGTCCTGAGTGTTGGGACACTGAATTCACCACTAGGCCACTATGGCATTTAAAGACTTAGTTGCATATAATAAATAAAAGTGACAAGTGATTTAAAGTGATAAAGTTGCAAATAATAATTATGACAGCACTGAATTCACAAATAAAAGAATCCAGTCTGCATAAATGTAGATATACGGAAGAACAGTTAACATTTCACACAGCCAAAAATGGTTTTATTCAAGATAAACTGAAGATTTTTAAAAAAATGAGATTTTAACTGAAAAATAAAACAAAATAAAAAATCAATCAAATATTGAGTGTATATGAAAAGACTCATAAAAACCACAGTGGGAATGAGAAGTGCAAGAAACAGATATAACTGGGAAAATGTCACAATCTGAACAAACAGTAAGCAGACAATGAGGTTTAGAAATGAGCAGGAATCAAACAAGTTGTTAAATGCTTAGTTGCCAAAGGCTCAGTTGTATATAATGCACTTGGAGGATAATGTTAAGAGTTCCTAAGGATATTCTCTAGGGCGAATTACAGATGAGCAGAAAATGTTGTGGTTAGCCTCTATGATATATGAATGTGTGTTAAGTTGGACATTAATGATACGGGTACTGAGGTGGATTCGTGGTTCAGGGTATTATTGGCCATGTTATCTGAAAGAAGAAAATAAAAAAGGAAATAAGGATAAAGAAGAAAAAAATTACAAATAATTGCAGAAGGTAAGAGTTGAGCTTCTGAGAAGAAGCATGAAATGGGCACAGTGGTGCTGAAGTCCCATGCTCTAACTGTGGAAGACCTTTCTTAATGTGACCTTATCTTGCTAGTCACACTCAATATGACCATGGGCTGCAACTCCCATGCCTATCTATAGCACAGTATAACACTACCATCAGGAATGATGAAAAAATGTGCTAACTGAAGTAGACAAACAGTCTTCTATCATCAAAGTGAAATATGGAACATAAATGCAATGCCTTCCATGATGCACATCAGTAAATACTTACCACCATTTTCCTGGTCATCTATAGGTGCAATACTCATAACGGTTGTTCTACGTTTTGGCTGTCGTTCTAATACAGCTGGTTTGTACTGGTCTTCCTCTTCAATCCACGTCTGCCTGGGCTTAGGTGGTCCATCGTCAGTGTTGAAACTCTGAAAGTTGACCATATCTTGTGGTTTACTGACATTCAGAACACAGTTTAAAAGGAGAACACTGCTTACAAGTAAAAAAGATTGCAAGCTGGAGTTAATATTCTTGTTTATCTTCATTGTCTGTCCAAGTGACGCACATAGTGTTGTGCCTGTTTACAGTGTAGCTGCGATATTTCCTCCTTTCAGCCAAAACATCCCAATTTCTTCTGGCATATGTTTTCTGGGTTAGCCTTCACAGTTAGTTTCTTCAGACAATGAGGGATATTTTACAACCTCATTTGTGTGGTGACTTTATCATCCCCTGATCCACAGGTCTTGCCTCCAAAGCACCAGTCCAGGACAGCCACCTGCATAGTTGTTGACCCTCAAGGGAAGGCTGGAGCAAAACATCAGCATTACCTGCCATCCAAGGAGTGTAGAGCTGATTCACTGTGCTCTGTGACTAGGTATACCCAGTGAATTATCAGGTCCTGCACATCAGTAATTAACCTCATCAAAACTGTATACTGAGTTTTCTACTATTTAGGGGCAGCACCTATTAGAGATCCCCAGAAAGCAGTACACGGTCCTGGGATTTTGACTACTGTAACAAAATTGGCATCATACTTTCTCAGCAAGTTAAATTTCTCTCTTTGCCAATGGCACCTTTAACGTGGATGCCCTAGTGCATTTTGTGCGACATTTATGGGAAGCATGCATCAGACATGGCTTCACTGTACATTACACTCCTATGAGTGTGGCTATTGGTGGTGATCATTTGAAAATGTTGTCATAAAGTAGGATGTTTGAGCAAAAGATATCTGAACCTTTGCTGTCATTCTAATGGGCGGACATTTCAACATAAGTAGCCATTCTGTAAGACTATTAGTAGACAGATGTTTGAACCAAGATATGCCATACAGGAGGGCTGTCGGTATTGCCACTGGATTGATGGGTGCAAGAGGATTTCAACACTGTATACTCTGCCAGTGCAGTTAAGGCCAATACAGGCCATTATTCATAGCACACGGTGAAGATTAATTTTGAGGGAAATTAAAGAGAATGCAGGAGTAAGAGTTGGAAAATACAATATAACCAATTTGCGTTTTTTGAACTGATACAGTTTTGATAGCTGAAAATGCAACTGATTTACAACAGCTGCTGGATACTGTGGGGATGGAGAGTGCTAAGAAAGGACTTTCACTGAATATTAAGAAACCAGAGGTAATGGTTATATCAAAGAAGAAGATAATTCCATGTTGTGCTGTCTCAGTTGAAGGGAAAAGACTTTTAACCAAGTCAATAAATTTAAATATATGGGAACAATCAGATCATCAGATGGAAAATGTGTGACAGAGATTAAAAGCAGAACAGGTCAAGCAAAAGCTGCATTTCAGAAAATGAAAAATATCTTATGCAATAAATTGCTCTCATTTAATCAGAAAGAGGGTGCTAAAATGTTACATAACACCTGTTCTGCTGTATGGCAGCGAATCTTGGAATGTCAGTGAACAAATTAGGAAGAATTTGGAAGCAACAGAGATGTGGTTTCTGAGACGAATGTTACGAATACCTTGGACGGCCAGAGTAACTAACAACGATTGCTTGAAAGAGGCTAATGAAAGTAGATCTCTATATACAACAATAAGAAAGAGAAAAACTCTGTTCTTTGGCCACAAAATGAAAAGAGAGACATTGGAGAACATCGTGACAACTGGAAAGACCAGTGGAAAAAGGGGTAGAGGCATACCAAGAAAGGTGATGCTGGATGGGCTAAAACTATGGCATGGAGGGATATCATCAAGAGAGCTGTTCCAGTCAACCAGGTATCGTGATCTGTGGAGACACATGAGCGCCTATGCCAGTTGGCAGGGCACATGATGATGATGATGACGGTGAAGATATGTGGCAGGAGTCTTGCAAGAGCATGCACACAAAAGTAAAGAGCCTGCTGGCACCCAAGGTGACGTACACAGAGTATCTCCTATGACAATTAAACATTAACAACTGTGCATGGTATTTTACTGAGCAGCTGTTATTCATTAAAGATATATGACCACTACATGGGTTAAATTTTCAACTACTTTTATGACTACAATGTTTAATTTAAGTCATACTGTCAGTCAGGTTACTGTACATTTATTTTATTAAATGAGACAATCAGTAAAAGTATACTTTAAATTGAGTTTTATCCCTTGCATATTTTAAATCCAGTGCTGATGCTGCTGCCTCTTGTGGTCAAGATTCTTATGCTAAACTGTCTTAAGCTAAGCTAGAAGAAGTTGGGGATATGTGTTTGTTTGTTTGTTTTATTATCCAGAAGCCATGAGTTGTTAACCCTTAGGCTCGGTATTATGGATATCGCAACCTTTCGGCCTTGATTCCATTGTAAATACCGTAAATCTGGGAGAAAATGTGGCTTTCCTGCCTACCCCCGGGATTGAACCCGGACCACAAGGAGTACGTCACCCGGTCTCCGCGAAATCCGGTTTAGCCAATTCCGCTAGAGAGCCGGGCTGGGGATATGTGAAGAGGAAGTAAAGTCAAACCACATCCATCCATATCCAAGGTAAGGTTGATATTGTTCATTTCACTCCTTCTTTCTCTTATTCTCTTACTGCTCAAACACCTGCTTCTCTTGCTGGTTCTTCTTCCTTTTATTCTCATCCTGCTTCTTCTCCTGCTTTTTTTAATTCTTGTTCTACTCCTGTGACCTTCAGTATTCTAAAGAAAAAGAGTAGCTGCTTTGAATCCAGTCATCAGGAGATACTGCTGACCCCACACAACTTTTCTCCTTTAATTTCCTTTAGTATTCCATTATCTCCCACTTAAACACCAACAGCTATTCTAGACATAACTAGTATAAAACATACATGAACTCCAGGTTCATAAACAGGACAACTCTGCCTCAATATGGGACAAAATATTTTGCAATTTAAAGCCCTACCTTGGCTGTCGTCAGGGGCGGCCCTAATATAACATAACGGTTAAACTAGGTTGGGGGGAGGGAAATTATCATTCGAATGGGGGCACTTTGTGTCGAAATAATATGAGAATCATAACCGCAAAGAGAGACATAATGTCAACACGAAGAAAGAAGCAGAATCTAAATATATCTGTAGAGTGCATAAGCATTTAACATGCATCTGAGTTTAAATATCTGGGAAAAAAATTTACCGTAGATGGTAAAATAAATGAAGAAATGAACATCCAATGCAGTAAACAAACCAAGTATCGGGATAGCTAGCACCCCTTTCCACCACCTTCTCTTACAATACAAAACAATCCTAATCAGAACAAAGAAACATCTCATACAAAGCATATTCATTCCCGCCATATGCTACCAGTGCCAGGCATGGTCCCTCACAACAAACCAGAAAAGAAAATTAGTAACCACAGAAATAAGATGTCTGCACAGGGCTGTGGGAGTGACCAGAAGAGAGAAAACAAGGAAGGAGGTCACAAGAGAACAGGTTGGCATAGAAAGTAGGTCACAAGAGAACAAGTTGGCATAGAAACAATTCTAAATTACATATAAAGATATCAAATCAAATGCTTTGCACACTTAGAATGCCTTGTGATGCCATACCATATAAGGCTTACACAAAAAAGATAGCGAAGCTGAGCACAAGGTAGACCAAGAACAATACAGAAAAATAACATTAGAGAAACTAGAACAGCATGACATGTCTATGGTCGAGGATGGCTAGAAAAGCAGAACTTCATAGCATCCTCAACACCTGAAGTGATAACAGAGAAAGAAGTGAAGAAGAAAATGCTGAAGAGCTTGCATAACCACAGCTGGAGCTATGCTGGTAATGGCTCTGTGTTTATTTGTCCAAAGTACAGAAACTCTGTACAACCACAACTCTCTACAGCTAGCAATCCCAGACGTGGCCCCTGGCAGTGCTAGTAAACTTCCAGGTGTTTACCAACTAGTTGTGTCAACAACATACCTGGCTAGTGCCTGAAAATACTGACATGACCACATTCAGGACCTGACACACAGCACTAAATAAATTCCCCTAAACACTGCTAGCACTGTATAGGTGGGTCATAGTTGGACAAATAGTTTGTGGGTGAAAATGGAAAGGTCATGGAGTCAGTTTACAATCTTGAATAAACTAAAGGTGAAAATCAATAACTGGGTTAAACGAATTCTATTAGACACCTATGAATTCTATTAAGACACCTACAACATGGTAAATAAATAACTAACATGAACATAAATCTTCTAAATGAACTGATCAGTGCTAATGGCTGACTAATGTGTTATGAAAGAAATACTAAGTACAATGTCCTTGTGTGGAACAAACTAACTAGTATTTCCTGTACCAATAAATCGGCACGACATGTAGAATTTTAACAAATCAGCTGGAAGGGGCATATGCACTTTGGAAAATAAATGTTATAGAAGAGTTATAAAAATTTGGTGGATGAAAAAGAGAACGAACTGGTATATCCAGCAAGAACTCTATAATGAAGAAAACTGCGTAATAAAAAAAAAATTGAGAAAAATGATGTTTTGGGGATGGTTTAAAAAAAAAAAGTATAACAAAGACACGAAAACCTGAAAAAGGTGATCATGGAGGCAATAAAAGCAGGACATTTTGTTAATAAATATCCCTTTTCCATACCTTCTGGCATATTGGGTATATACAACTGGAGCAGCAAGACATGAAAACTATGCGGGAGTCACCCGTTGTTACATCAACCAGAAGAGAATGGGAGTTGTTAGCCTAAGAATACTTGGAGACCAACTCAAAAGGAGATTGGAGTACTTATGGTTATGTCTGATATGCAATGATCTTTATATGAGCAATGAAAAATGAAATGAAACTACAATGACAAATGTTAAAATAAAGCAAAAGCAAACTAGGAAGAAACAAAAATGTTACCACTAAATAGGTTATATAACTGTTGTAATTGGTTCTTGTTGTTATCATCTAGTATGTTATCTACCCCCCTCCAACCTCCAGTATTGCCAACATTGTTTTTCTTTTCCAACTGATTTATTTTGTTATCAAACTAGTTTTCTTGTATACCCCAATCGTGCCCTTCCCCCATCATCTATTTTTTCTTTAGCATTCGCCTAAAGTGTACAAAATATTGACTGAAATGAAATAACTCTGATCAATATAAAATGTTACAAGAAGAGACAGGATGAGAAACAACAATATCAGGAAACATGGGGATGAAACCAGTGCTGAACTACATGAAGAGACATCAGGTCAAATGGTTCGGACATGTGTCAAGACAGGACAGTACACCAATATAGTCCTGTTATTTAGATAAATAGAAATTAAAGTTTATATTTTTCTTTCAAGTCTGGATGTTAAGTCTGTGTTTCCCAGCTGTATGTAAAAGTACTGACAGCCGGTTCTCTTCTTCACTTCCTCTTTTACCGCTGTGGGTGTCGAGGGAGATATAATTCTGTTTCTAGCTCTTCTGGCTGCCTCGACCATAGGCACATCGTACTGTTGTAGAGTTTCTCTGATGTTATCCTTCCATCTTGTTCTTGGTCTTCCCCGTGCTCTACGTCCTTCTCTTCCCATGTATGCTTTGTATGGTATGGTGTCACAAGGCATTCTCTCTAAGTGGGCAAACCATTTCACTTGCTGTCTTTGTATGTAATCCAGAATTGGTTCTGTGCCGACTTGTTCTCTTATGATCTCATTTCTGATCTTATCTCTAAGCATACATATTTTTGTTTTATGACCAGTTATTGCAATAATCACAGCTGTCCAAAGTGTTACTTTAACTTATTCAGTTTCATATTTATTCTTTTAAGTTCTCAGATCACACTATTTGCTAGTTAAAGTAATAATTTCTTAGGATAAAATATGTTAAAGTAACAACTCCCTGAGATAAAATATGTTAAAAGTGACAACTCCCTGGGATAAAATGAGTTAAAGTAACAACTCCCTGGGATAAGACTAGTTAAAATACGATGCCCTTGTGATAAAATGAGCTAAAGTAACCATTCCTTGGGATAAAATAGTTACTCCTTGCACAAGTCGGATGTGGTGGCCGAAAGGCAAAAATATCGCAGCCATATTGTAAATGGGCACACACATCTACTTCATGAGATGATTGCAGAAGAAGAGGAGAAAATGAGCTAAAGTAACAACTCCTTGGGATCATATTTGTTAAAGTAACACAAAGTCACTTCTTGGGACTGAGAGAGAGCGAAACTAACAAACTCATGGTGAGATGACTGGTTCTGAAAGAGATGAAGCAAGCAATGAGCAATGAGAAAATGAAACATAAGCAACTTCTGCATCATTTATAAATTTCTTTTTCTTCAGCCTTTGTGTTTGTCCTTAAAGTCGCACCTGGTACGCTGTGTCATAGTTTACAGCTAGGCTGTGATATCTGTGTCTTTGTAGTCACCTTTTACGACCTATTTGCTGAGGAGCAGTGGATCTATTATTTTTCCCAAACAAATAGCACCCCGGAATCCACCCAGGACATTCATGAGTTTTGAGGATAAAGCGGCTTCAAAAGCATGATACCAACACTGGTCCTAACTTGTATTTCAGTATGTCCTATCAAGCAGGACAAACAGCAGAGAGTAACAGACTACAAAAGCAAAATGCTTGAGAAACGACTGTGGCAACAAGATGTCACACCTCAGTTAACACAAAAGAGCATGGTCCAAAAGCATGCCTGGGCGATTAGCTAATGCTCTGTGACAAAAGCTTTTCTCTGAAACTTTATGTACTGTGACCAACACTAACTACAGGCCTACAAAAGACCTCAGGAATGTGAAGTAGTTGTAATAATGGATTAAAATGAAAACACGTTACATTTCCTCAAAGCCAGAATATGTTTACGCTCTACCCAAATACATATAAATCTCAATGACCTGTTAGTTCATGACAAGTTAATCCTATGCTGGATTTTTTAAATCCTATGTGGGATTTGTTTGTAATCTTCTAGAACACATAATTACAGTCAAACTGGCAAATGACACAGAGCATATATTTGTAAAGCACATGTACAACAAAGGACCCATTTCCATGCTACAGGTAACGCTGTGTCAGTGGCATATTTTCATAAATCAGTCAACACTTGGTGGGATGCTGTGTCAGTGGCATATTTTCATAAATCAGTCTGGTGGGTGATATGGCCAATATCACACTGGTCGTATATTACTTCCCATAACATTTTCCAAAGTACTGTGTTTCTCTGTAAATAAGACCCACCCACAAAATGAGCGCTGGCAAGATTTTTCAGGATACTTTTAATATTAGCCCTACCCAAAATATAAGCCTTAGTTGAGAGAATGAGAGACGGGGGGGCCAATGGTTTTGCAGGAAATGGAGTCGCAAGAAATTCAGGCCATAATCTGGCATTTGGAGAGTTATGACGATGTTCCAGAATGAAGACTGCATGACTGTTTTTTAATAAATGTGGAATTCTGAACAGGACTAAATGTAGACTTTTGTACATTAAAAAAATAAAATAAAAATAACACATCTTCCTGAAATAAGTCCTAGTTAAAGTATAAATTCTCAAGTTGGAGAATCACCAAAAATATGGAATGAAAGCTAAATGCATTTGAAAATAATTGTCTGAGAAAAACCATAACATAAAATAGGAGGAATTTTTAAAAAAGTTAGGAGATCAGAGAAATGTCTGGACAAATACCTGTATCGACTGCAATAAGACAAAGAAGGTATGATAATTTGGGCACACTCTGATATAAATTGAGCAAAGAATTACAAAACAAGTACTGAAATGGAAAACCAACGGTCTGAGAAAAAGAGGACTTCCAAGGGAAACAATCAGAAAAACATTAAGAAAGGCTACAAATGCTAAGCTGAACTCTGTACGTCGAGAGAGATGCATGCAACAGAGTGGAGTGATGGAATCAAATGCAAGCCCTATGTGACTTCTAACAGGACATAAAGGATAATGATGATGATGATAACATCTCTACATCCACAAATATTTCCAATAAAATCCAGTATAACTGGAAATGGGTTTTGTCAATACAAGATGAATCAACTCCTCCCATCACAGACAGATGTTACTTTAATTCATTATATCCTGTCCATTGTTCATTTCAAGATTATCTTCATCGTATATGCCCATAAATGTTCCGATCTCCTCCTGAGTTCGTCTCCAAGACTTTTTCAGCTAACAACTCCCATTCTGTTCTAGCTAGTGTAACAACAGGTGGCTCCAGCATGGTTTTCCTGTCTCGCAGCTCCAAATGGTACATCCAGGGTTTGCAGTCTATTTAGTAAAAAATGATTTTCAATGAAACTGAAAGTCTCACAGCGTTTAGTCTTTTGTATAGCACTGATGATGTCTCTCCTGCCCACAGAGGGCCCATTGCTTATAGTTGCACTTTTACATTTTACTAGAGCTCCAGAACTTGAAATTTGCGTGCACACTCATGTTTACAGAGCTGGCCTAATTTTATGCATGTTGTTGTTTACTGACCTCTCAGGCAGATTTGCTCTGACATCAGAGGAAAAATTCCTAATTAGTCACCTTTTTATGACATGTTTGTTAAGGAGGTAGTGGGTCTATTCCTTTTTCTAAGAAAAGGGGCCCTGGAATCCATACGGGGAACATATGGATTGAAGGGTTAGTCTGCAATGAGGATATCTGTTAACTTACTAGCTATTTGTGAATGTAATAATATAACTGGTCTAAAATGCTGAGAAAAAAAGAGTCGCAGATGTAGAGTAACCCAAAAAAAAAACAGAGGGTGCGTTGCTTGAGATAGAAAGTTCAAATTAACTACAAGATGTTATAAAATTAACCAGATATAATGGTTTAGATTTAGTTCAAACTAACCACACAAGGTTATGATATTACTCAGATATAATTGTTTAGAATTAGTTCAAACTAACCACACAAGGTTATGATATTACTCAGATATAATTGTTTAGAATTAGTCCAAACTAACCACACAAGGTTATGATATTACTCAGATATAATTGTTTAGATTTAGTTTAAACTAACCACACAAGGTTATGATATTACTCAGATATAATTGTTTAGATTTAGTTCAAACTAACCACACAAGGTTATGATATTACTCAGATATAATTGTTTAGAATTAGTTCAAACTAACCACACAAGGTTATGATATTACTCAGATATAATTGTTTAGATTTAGTTCAAACTAACCACACAAGGTTATGATATTACTCAGATATAATTGTTTAGATTTAGTTCAAACTAACCACACAAGGTTATGATATTACTCAGATATAATTGTTTAGATTTAGTTCAAACTAACCACACAAGGTTATGATATTACTCAGATATAATTGTTTAGAATTAGTTCAAACTAACCACACAAGGTTATGATATTACTCAGATATAATGGTTTAGATTTAGTTCAAACTAACCTCACAAGGTTATGATATTACTCAGATATAATTGTTTAGAATTAGTTCAAACTAACCTCACAAGGTTATGAAATTAAAAAGATATAGTGGTTAAGATTTAGATACAATTAACTACACAAGGTTATGAAATTAACTAGATAAAATGGTTTCGATTTAGACACAATTAACAAGGTTATGAAATTAACATGACAGCTAATTTAGAAAATGTATATTTTATATATATATATATATATATATATATATATATATATATATATATATATATATATATATATATATATATATATATATATATATATATATATATATATATACATATGAGATTGTGAAGCCAAAAAAATAGAGTATAAGAAGTTTAGATATCAAATATTTGATATTCCAGTTTTCTAAGCAAACTGACAACAGGATTGCTCTAGAAATTTTCAGTAAAAAGCAATTTAAATTAAATCACTAATATTGAGGAGGAGAAAGAAATATATTAAAAACAACTAGAGAATATGTAAACTACAGACTCACCACAACACGTGCAGATTTAACATCTCTCTGAACCTACCCAGGACATCAAATGATCAAGTGTATATTTGAATGTCCAACAAATTTGCTGTTGAAAAATAAACAGACAGACAGATTGGCTGGTTCTACAGTACTGGATGGTAAACTGAGGAATGACGAGCTAGATGCAGTCAAGGCAATTTAGGAGACAGTGTGGAAGCACAAACCAGTATGGAGAGAATTGTGAAGCTGGGAGTGACCAGGGAATCTGACCAACACTCAGAAGAAAGACAAGACAAAATATACAATCAGTCTGGAGAGAATGATGCAGCGAGGAGTGACAGGTAATCTGACCAACATCAGAAGAAAGGCAATTAGAAACTTTCGGTTTAGAAATGTCGGCACCAGCAAAACAGTTTACATAGCCACCCTCAGTCTACATGATGATGAATACCCGCAGAATCTTTGGGTTCGTGTTTACACAGAGGGGTCAGCAGAAAATGCAATGAGAAACGGAGGAGCAGGAGTGTACATTGAGCAGCCTACCAGGGATACAGACAAAATACCAGCAGGAAAGCAGTGAAACAACTATGATGCAGATGTTCAAGCCATTAAGACAGCAGCAGAGATACTACTAAATACAGGTATATTTCACAACCAATGGTATCCCTGACTGATGCAAAAGCAGTACAGTACTTTAGGCACTCCAGTCTGGAAAACTACCAGGTATACGGACATTACTATCTGAACTAGGCAACAGGTGTAAGGTAGTTATGCAATGGATACCATCCCACTGTGGAGTTCCCAGAAATAAAAGAGATGATAAACTATTTAAGAAAGGTGTAAATGAAGAACAACCTGACGTACCAGTCTCTTATCAAGAGAAGTAGAGAATAATCAAATATATAAGAAAGCCACAGAAACTGGCACAAGACGATTACCATATTATAAACAGACCACAGCAAGACATTTCCTACACCTTAGAACAGGGCACATTTGACTTTGCAGCCATATGAAAACAAAATATTTAAGATTTGTTAATCAACCATGTGTACCAGTGGACTCGCACCTGAGACAAGAGATCAATCACATTCTCTAAGACTGTCCAAGCGAATTACAAAAGACAGTGAAGTTCATACTAGAAATGGCATTGCAGATACAGATAATTTATTTCAGAAGAAAAAAAAGAAGAGAGGCAAAACAACAGATTTAAAAAGATAGGAGAGAATGCCGCACAGAGGAGTGATCAGGAAATCTGAGCAACACTCAAAACTCAAAAGAAAGGTAAGACAAGACATACAATCAGTCTGGAAAGAACGGCACAGAGGGGAGTGCCCAGGGAATCTCATCAACACTCAATAGAAGGGCAAGACAAGATAAGTCAATAAGTCTGCTACTGGTATCAGAGCAGGAACTCTGCACTGGGGAGAATATAAGTAACTAGAGTGTGAGATTTCAGTTTATCAAGACCTCAACAGTAGACTAACACTCATGTCGTGACAAATGGGCTAAGAAAGACGTGAAAGACCTCAACAGCGCTAACACTATCAATCACAATCAATCATCAACAGTAGACTGGACTTCTAGCCTTCTCAGACCCAGACAATAAACTAGGACTTATTAATCTAAATATACCTAAAAATACCCTACAAACCATCAAGGAGCAGAAGCTGTGTATTGGCTAGCATGCCTACCTGTTTGCCTGGTGGTTTTGACTTATAATCTAACTGAGGAAGAAAATTTTTTTTAAACTGACCTGACTTCCAGATTGACCCAGCCTAAAACTAATACCAGGATAAATCTCAATCCCAAGATGTGCAGGATTTTTCCCCTGACTAGTATGGCTCTGGATTTGACCCAGCCTCATAAAAAATTGAACCAGACAATTTCCAGGATGTTCTGGGAATTGTCTGAGAAGGGAAAATAATGAGGAAAGGAACTGGTCAACACAACTTATATGTCATGGTCTAAATTTTGTAAAAACCCAAATCTTCACACCCTAACAGCAGTATCTACTATGCTGTAGAGTTCTTCATCCTGTCTCCAAGTTGAGAAACTAGCCAGAGTGGAGTTTCCCATTTGCAGAGAGGCATATTGGGGTCTAATCAGGACAGGCCTAATGACAAAATAAAGTCTAGATTGGGTAAAGGGTTTTGGGTCATTTTATTTTAACAAACCTCACCACAATGCCCAACAGGAAAGGCTTAATTATACAAAAACATAATTCATTTTACAAAACCAAAACGCAAGATGAATATACTATCAGACAGTTACTGGTGCCATAGGAATCGGAACTCATCGTTTGCTGCTGAAGATGGGGATTGAGCACTTATGGGGGTGTCTCAAGTGCTATGATGTCAATTTTTAATTCAACATGCAATTTAAGAAAATGAAATGATTATGTGTTAAATGGGATGCTTACCTGACTGTAAATGGACTCAGGGAAGCCGCTACCAGATCCACTCCTCTCATCTCTGCTGTCTTCCCATGGAAGTTTGTTTCTTCCTCTTCCTGCACTCATAAATGGCCTCACTGCTGAGGTCAGTACTGAAAAATCCGGCCCCGCAACAGGTGTTGATCTGGAGGATGTGGTTGCAGATCCAAAATCTAAAGGAACAGAACGAGCCGACCGAGATGTGTTGGACACACCTGCACCAACAGCCATTATCCATTCAGTGTCTGCACTATGCTGTGACAAGGATGAGCGCACCGTGGCAGAACTTGGAGTTGGGGTGGCATACTCAACCAGTCCATCACTTGTTAACTTCGGAAGCTGTTTACGTGAAAGTCTGGCTTGTACAGCAGCCATCAATCCCTCCCCGTCCGTACACAACTCAACCTCATCAACTGCTGACACTAGTGGATGCAGCTGTCCTGGGCCCATAACTTGTGCCAGAGTGGCAAAACATTCTAATGCTGCCTGCCTCACCGCCCTCTTGACATCAGTAAGAGTAGGGCCTACAGATTTACATATCTGTGGTATGTCAAAATCCCTGCTAGGAAATGTCAGAAGTGCAGCAATGATAAGGTTAATAGTTTCCTGCCTCACCCGTGAATTCTTGTGCTGAAGGTTATCTTTGATAACAGAAATAACATCCATAGGCGAAGTACTTTGCATCATCTTAATAACAATGCTCATTACCAGTTGTCGGATGACAATTTTGTTATCTCCCATCCTTTTTAACAAGGCTGACGTTAAAGGTTCCAGAAAACTTATGGTATTTTTCTCCAATTTTTCTACCAAACTAAGGATTATTTCCAAAGTGACGTTAATGATCTTAAAATTAGAATCATCTAGTAAGTTACTCAGAAAGTTTATAAATGAACCCACGAAAGGCAACATGTGTGTTGACAGTTCGAACGATGTTGTGTTTATGATAATACTTTTCAAATCTTCAACAGCTTGAGCACGGGTGCGGAAATCTTTTTGATCATTTAATCTGATCAGTATCTGACTAGGCACTAAACCAAACTCAAAGCTTTCTGCATAGTCCATCTGACCATTCGTCATTCTCTGGCTCATTACTGTGGTTCCATTATTGTAAAAATCAGCCTCCAGATTGTAAAACCCGACATCTTGCTTGCCAGACAACTGTAGATAGTACTTCTGTAATGGCAAGGGCAAGTTCTTTAAATATACAGCAAACATTCTCTCCCCTGCCATTTGTTCGATTTTATTCAAAGTGGATAATGAGCAATCTTTCAGATTATCTTCTACTGAGGTGTCTAGCAACTTCCTTGCCAGCGAAGTTATCATTTTTGACAGGTCCTGACTAACAAACTCCTTTGTTAGCAACAATGGTAGAGCTGTGACCATTTCTCTTCTGACTGCAGGATTCTCATTTTCAAGGCCTATGTTGACCAGTCCATCAAATAAAGCTGATAAGTTGTAGGTATATTTCATGTAAGCATGTAGAGCCTGCACAACCATTCTTCGTACAGTCACTTTACTATCACCAATATTTGCAATTAATTTACTTAAAACTAAAGACATACATTTATCAACTTCAACCCCAAGGTTGGGGATGATCTCCTGTAGCAGCTGAATGCATTTATTGCGAATCTCCCAGTTGGAATCCGACAGAGCAAGTCCTAAACTCCTAAAGATCGGGTCGTTATCAGCGTAAGGAAGGCGTCCACCATTTCGTTTGACGGTGATTATTAACTGATCCAGCACCTCGACACGTTTCTTGAAACTGTCATCCTTCAACTGGTCGGCCAGATCGTTTTCCTCCATAGTCCAAACCCCAGAATAGGTTGGTTCTAAAATAATATTTTCGCTAAACTCACGAATACCACCATGGTCATGGAACTTAGCAACTTGCACTTTACTCGCCATCAAACTTACAATAGCAATGTTCTCTGCAAATACAGCACAAAACTAAACTGCGCTTTCTTTAATCTAGAGGAGACATTACTAGCGAAATGTATTAGTTAAAGCACAGCAACACTACAGGTAACGGTTAAATAAGTTTGGATCTAGAGAGAAGCCTGTTGACAGGAGAAAATGGCTTCTCTCCACAACAACATAATTGTGTTCATCACGTGACCCCGGGTGCCCGGATATGTAACTTGGGATTACGAGGGCCGCAAATCGTCTGTCCCTAAATGGGGCCGATCAACACAAGATTGGCACCAGATATAAGTGACTCCTTGAACATGAAGGTACACGAGAGCTGGCGAGAGACCGAGTTTCTTTCAGGCAGACCATGCTGAGACCGACGTTTTGCAAAGGACCTGCTGAATGATGATGAAATGACTGCTGGACTTCAGATTATTTCGTAACAGCCCTAATATAACTTTCCGTCCCAAGAACGAATTAAACCTTCATAGAATCCTATTTAAAAGCCCTCTGAACGCAAGATTCGCCGATTTTACGTCTGTTTACTACCCATTGAGCCTCTGATACTAAACGCCCTGGGACTGAAAGAGTGAAACTAACCTGGGTTTGGGGGAGGGAGGCTGCCGACTGGGGAGGGGGCGTCTCATCCGATTGTGGCACTTTGTGTCACCGAGTGTTAATCGATTAAGCGGGTACCAAGTAAGGTCCTGGAAAGTAAAGATGGTGGCGGAATGCCGACCACATCAGCCACCGAGTGCCAACATGTGTATAAGGTATATAAATATCGGTACTTGTTACACAATACGCCAGAAGACGTGGAAAAGGGTCTTTTTGATTAAACTATACACTTAAACTGCGCTGGGAGGAAGATTGACGTAGCTCCACGCACAGTGCAGTTTTACAATGAACCAGTCCCCTGTCTTCTTCTTCTTCTTTTTCTTCTTCTTCTTCTTCTTCTCCCCCTCCTCTTCTTTTTCTTCTTCTTCTTCTTCTTCTTCTTCTTCTTCTTCTTCTTCTTCTTCTTCTTCTTCTTCTTCTTCTTCTTCTTCTTCTTCTTCTTCTTCTTCTTCTTCTTCTTCTTCTTCTTCTTCTTCTTCTTCTTCTTCTTCTTTCACCATTTACCTTATGAATGGTCTTCACATTGTCTCCCGTTTCCAGTACGAGTGTTCCCGTAGGTATCGCTTTTGTAGCCAGAAAATCCGCTAGTTCATTCCCTTTTATGTTGCATATCCCGGACAGCATATACACGCGATTATTTGCAACGTTGACGTACTGATGCTTAGCATCCACTCATTGTTCATCGTCTGCTATGTGTCCCAGTTCCTTCTGGAGTTCTACAATTCTGCCCCTTTCTTGCCTTAGTGTACACTTGTATGTCATCAGCATATGCGAATGTTCTTCCTTCACATGTGTTTGATATTATGTCACCTCAATATTGAAAATATTGAAGAGGACTGAGGATAAAGGTGATCCCTGCTGCAAACGTGGGTGTATGGTTTTCAGGTCAAAGATCCACTTTCTACATTTGAAAACAACCTGTCTCTTGAAGAGTCCGGCTGCTATCAATTTAATGATTGTGGAAGAACTGTTAATATTTAGGAGGGTGTATGAGTTTTTCAAAGGGCGCCTTGTTGTATGCATCGTATGAGTCTAGCACCACACCACATGCTTCCACTCCTGCATGGACACCTTCAAAGACATCGTAAACAAAAAACAGCAGCAATAGTCCACATATCCCTATGTAGTATATATCCTTCCAGTGTTGATGGTAGTTCACCCGTTTGTTCCAATTTATGCGTAAATTTCTTTTTTTGCCACAATTTTTTTCTAGCAGTTTTCGAATGGTGTTTTTTGCATACTGATAATTCGGTAGCTGCTTATAGAAGATGGTTCTTGCCAGGTTTGAGCACAGGTATTGAATAACTGTGAAGCTATATTTCATTTACTGTGCCTGTCCTTATGCTGTTGTTGTATTCATGACACAGTTCTGATAGTTCCTCGTCTGCTAGTTTAGAAAAGTCTTTATAACGGACTGTCAGAGCCCGGTGCAGTGTTTTTAAAAATACTTTTTTAAGGGTGTCTATTATGTCTACAGTGATACAGAGCTCTTCTTAAAGAGTTACAGTTTTACAAAGAACTTTCAATGCTTCCTTGACAATTGTTCGACTTTAGTCGAGGCTCAGGGGAAAAGCAAGAAGGTCGTTTAATCAGAATTCTACTGGCACCATTTGTATCGGAACTCTTCGCTGGCTGTTGAAGATGTGGGCAGAGCGCTTATGGAAATGCCGCGAGTTCTGTGATGTCGGTTCTTGAATCAAGTCAAATCAAGTATTAGTCTGGTTTGTTTACTGCCAATATTGATCGAAAAGTAATAGGCCTTTGCTTTCATCCGTTCCGTGCCAACTACCATCATGTTCCTGAATGCCAGGCAAGCTATATTGTCGTGGTATACCAGTCACAGATCGCTGTGGCGGCCGGAAACGCTTCAGTAATTTTTCATACCCACTCTCTGACAGAATCTTACCATTTTATAATTTTGCTCTACTATGCTACAGTTTCGAAACAGATTGTTTCTTTGTGTTATAGTTTGTATCAGGGTACTGGGTTCATGGGTGCTGCCTCTTTGTCATTGTCTGTCTGCATCTTTGATTGGCAGTATTTGTCCACTTCCATATTTGGTATCGACTCATATCACATTTCTTCATTTTGAACGTTCCGTAGCACCGACTAAGAATCAGATACCCTTGATACCGTTCACACCATCCCGTAATCGCGCGCAAAGCACTTTGCAAGTTTCTGGTCATGTTTATCTAACCTGCTTCGATACATCCGAACATCATCTACAACTGTAAAAGTTCGCCCTGGTCCAGTGGGCTGAATGTTTGCCAGACTTGCTGTATATATGTTGAACAAGACAGGTGACAATTGTGATCCCAGAGGAAGGCCAGGGCAAGTGAGTACTGGATCCGATCTCTATGTTCCCAGACAAAAACAACAAGACACTGTTCGTTCCAACATTGCTGCCCCCACCCAATGAGCCAAACAAGGCGTCAAACCACAATCCATCACGCCCTGTATATTGAATATTGACCTAAATCGTGATTCTGGCTGTCCTGTGAATAGGCGTTTCGTTACATTTGTCTATTGGCATGGTAGCTGACAATGATATGTCTGTTTCAGAACCAGCGTGAACAAAAAAGACGAGAGACAGAGAAAGAGAACAAGAAATTACGAAATGACAAGATAAATAAGTAGTTTCCTGATTGTCACAACCCTATGAGTACAGTCAGTGGCGGAATAGACTACACCGTAGGGTGTGCGTGTTGAGGTGACACCCCAGGGTTGACACAAAGGTCAGGGCCGTGACTGGTCAAGTCTGTTCTGTTATTGAACGGTGAAACCAGCGCTCAAGATAAAGCGCTTGGCCACGACAAGAAAGAGTGAACTTTGTTGTAGACAAGTTCGCAGCACGATTACCCCTTTTGCGACTGAGCTGGTGAACGGGTCAAAAGACACGAGGTGAAAGGAACACGGGACATTCTGTGTACAGCAGACGTGTTAGCGAGACAGTGATAGTATATTAGAGTTAGGATATTTCTGTTAGTGACTGCATATATTTATTTACAGTGTTCTGTTAGAATAGGATAGTTTTTGTGCTGTGTATTTAACTAGTACAAGGTATTGTGTTGTTCCATAAGAAGTAAATAGGTTCCAGTTACTTCTGACCAGTTAAATCAGTTATGTACATGTTCTGTGAGAGAATGTCTAACCTTGACACTCTGACCCTGCACTAGACAGAGGCTGTGACAGTTTGGTTGGTCAGTGTGTCGATAGGTAAGAGCGTATCTCGTGCCACTGTGGTTTGTGCACCAGGAGATTGCTTGTGGAACGGACTGGAGAGCGAGGCGATTGTAAAGCTCGTTCGGCCAGAGGGTCCAAGCAATAGGTGGCCACACAGCGGGAAGTCAACTGTCTATTGTATTGCCTGTACTTACAATAAAGATTGTCGTGTGTGCTCTGTGTGCGTTCGGGTTCAGTGTGTGTCAAAGGTTAGTTTGTCTGTCATAGGCCCAGTTACGAGCCACGGACCAGCAAGGTCACCCCGAGGTCTGTGACACTGATTAACAACAAAAACAGGGATATATACTCGAAAGAAGATATGTCGGCTCTCCTAACCTAGCGTCCAATCGAGGGGGTGGGGGATGGGACTTTACTCAGTGTAAGAAAAAGCCACAGCATCAAGTAGCAGTAGCATTTTTACCCCACTAGGACATCATACAAGCAATAAACATCCGATGACACAAAGTGCCACCATGTGGATGAGGATCGCCCGTGGAGAGGTTCTGGAAACCGCGTTCAGCCATTGGGCCATATTTATGACCGGGCTATATTGTGGCCACTGGCAAGAGCCATGCTAGGGCTTCAAAATAGAGAAAAATGTCATCCCACAAGCGAATGACTAGATACGTATATGCACAATATCAACCGCATAGAGGCAATATAGAGGCAGAACCTCGTACAAAATACAAGTTGTAACCTAATTTAATTTATGCTGAACTAAACATGGAATACATTATACATGTGTATTGACTTAATAGGACTGACTCTAAATGACGTTTCACACAGGTAAGTTTTCAATATATGTACTCAGACAAACAATGTAATAACTGGCTAGGTAACAGAGTGGAGAAATAGCCTTCTCTCCTACATAATAAAAGTATGTGGGGCAAGGATACACACGGAAACAGGGAGAGAATCCAATAGTCTGCTATGGTGCATCACTCAGACCTAAACCCAGGTACCCACATGGCAACTAAGTGACGCTATCCAGTGGTTAGTAACAAATGATCGTATTCAATTTCCGTTCGGACATTTTTTGTCAGTCTCAACTAGTCTGGTGACACTGGTCTCGAGACGTCAGCAGTGTTGGGGGCTTCTTCAGTAGGGGAGTCAATGAGCACATTGCAATGCAGCTTGTCTCCTCCAGGACTACAGAT